TGAGCCATTCATTTGACGATAAAAGTATTTTAAGAGTAACATCGACAACAATACAATTGAAATCAAGCAGTGATCGATTGTTTATAACAGACATGTGTGAAAAGATGAGGGTGGGGTGTGGGTGGATGAATTACTAACATCAACACCCAAACTCTCACAACCCCACCCACACCCCTTCGGATTCCCCGACCCCGATTACCGTTGGTCGAAATTTTTAGAAGAGCCGGTGCTGAAATGTTTATTGGTATAGCGCATACTGAAATTCGATTGGTTTGACAAACAAACATACAATCAAACTTTAAAGATATTTAAGGTGCGTATAACCCTTTCTTTCAGAGAAGGGAACAGTACTATAGATTTTGAGTTCACTTCAAGATACTTCAGTTGAACAGTGGCTATGTAAAAACGGAGACAAAATACAAATTGTTAGGATCCATTCTTCTTTATTTTAAAATAGTATAACGTGAACCTAAACTGTAGTTAAACACTCAACAACAACTAGTTAAACACAACACACAGTTTACCAGACGAGAAAGAGAAGAGAGAGGGAGCAAGAAAGAGGATCGTCCATCTATAATATATAGATGGCAAATCCTAACACAAATGATGAACGCTTGAATGTGTGTTTACTGATCGCGTATAACTTTCTGTAATAAATGAATCTACAAAGTTTATTTGAAAGGATGCTTCTGTAGTGGCTCCCATAAAATCGAGATCAGTGATGTGGATGATACGTGAAGAAAAGAAAATGAACCCATCAAAAAGAAATTGGTCATTATATAAAATTCATTTTCTGTGAACGTATCATCTATAGAAATTTGACTTAAGCAAATACGACGAAGGTGAGAAAGAAAAAGACAACGTAAACAGTATATTTCTGAGTTGCAAGTAAGCAAAAATGACTAACATTCGAATTTGCCGTGCAACAAAGAGGCGAACTATGAATCTTTAAGAATATAATGAGACTCAGAAAGCAATAATAGGAGGAGAACTACGTAGCTAGTGATTGAAAGAAAGCAATGATAATAAAATTTTCAAGACTATTGCATTAAAATCAGAATGAGAGGAAATTCTTGTAGTAAAGCTGTTCATAGATGAAAATATCGATAGTCGAACATGAGTTTTTTACAACCCTGCTAATATTTAAAAATACATCATATCCAATAGATTGATTTGCCATCGGCATTGTTCCTTGATTGCTTCGATCATTTGTTGTAAAGTGTAAAGGCTGTATAGCTGAAGCTTTGCCTACTTAGAGAACCTTTTGTATACTATCTTGGGTGAAAGGTTGAGCAAAATTCGACAAATGCATCAGAAGCTATTAACGAACCGATTTTGAAAATCTGAAGCTACACAGCGAGTGAAAAAACTTCTTTTTTGTTTTTTACCCTTAAAAAGAGATTTTTTTCCAGCACTTTGAGCTGTTTCTAAACTAAATTTTTATGCTCTGTCTTTTGACAAGTTCAGTTTTTCCAAAAGCAGTGTTCTTAATTTGGCAGAACCAAATTTCATCTGGAGCTACATTTGTGTGTAAAAGTATTACCTTACTAAATGATCACAAACAGAAAATAAAATAAATACAGGAGTCATATTTTTAGATAGCCTGAAAGTTGCTGTACAGAACATGCTATCGACTTTCTCTTTTAGCCCTCTTTCTTTTCTCGAAATGTCAGCTTCTTTTTGGATGAGTCATCGAAGAATGTCTTTTTCTAAACTTTCGATGTGAATATATCGACAAAGTAATACGCTAGAGACTTAAAATTTATATAGCAGTACCGGCATGGATTAAGCAACGAAACAGAAAAACATTTGAAAATCGGTTCCCAAGAACCGGGATTCCTGATTAAAGCACTTTAATATCACAATCGTACAATAAAGTTGCAAGTGACTCATATATTTGTATTGATATTAGTATAGCTATTACTAATTCTAATAATCTACTATTAACATTTAAAGCAATATAATGTATGTAGATATGTCTTACAAAAAATCTATCAATACTATCAACAAATATTTATTTAATATTAAGAGAAATAGAAAAAAAAATTCTATCGTTTCAATCTATTCATAACAATACAATAGTTTTCAACACTATATTACAAAATATTTGCATAAGCAAACATATAATAATGGTCTTTAGGGATAATAAATCGCCACATATAATATAATATTCAATACCAAAGGATACATAAAAAAATTACCATTAATCTTAATGCGTACCATCTTTACCAGGAATATCATCATGAATGTGTCCATTGTTATCCTTTGATGATGATTGTTTCAATTTGAAACATTTTTTAGACACCCAGGTGAACTAATCCGACATCGGATTCCATCGGATCTCTTAGGATCCAACATTCCGACAAAAACCCGACGAATTCCTGGTTGAGGAATCGCTGTCGGATCCGACGGACAAAATCAATTTTCTTAATCAGGAGTGAATAAGCATCTGATGCCATAAAAATACAAGGGTTGTATGCTAGCGTCGGTTTCCGTTGAATTCCGACACAGGTTTTTCTCGGATTCCAGCGGCAGGGATCCGACTGTAAATCCGTTTCCGGGAATCCAACGGAATTTCATCGGTTTTATTAACATTTTAATGATATCGGATAGGATTCCCTCTGGGATCTTATCGGACCCTACTATCGGAATGATTCTTCTGGGTTCGTTCCATATCATTTACGTGATATTAACAATCCTCCAGCTCATCTCGACGACAAGCAAAAATCGAATTGGATACGTACTGCACAAAAAATGCAGAAAAATTATCAAAATCAACAACAATATCCAGCATTTTATTTACCAACATCATTTTATGAAATTATATATGTAAATAAATTTACAACAACTGAAACAATGCAAAAATTGATTGACCATGTACGGTATTGCCTTGAATTTACATTTGATACTGAAGGTGAGCGATCAAACAATCAATTAGCATTAATTCAAATTCAAACAATACCTCAACAATTACCATGTTTCGTCGTATTATTAGAATTATTACATTTACCATCATATGATACATTAATTTTCGTCAAAATTAAACAATTATTTCAATTGATATTTCAATCGAAAGACAAATTATATTCGTGGGGATCACTACGACGAGAATTGTATCCGGCTGTGAATTATGAATTGTGGGAGTGGCCTATTACATCGCAAATATTTGATGTTCAACTTGATTTTAGTGAATGGTATAAATGGGCACTCTTTCATTGTAAGGTGTATGGCTCATTATTACTGCAACATAATGTTATAAATTATGTTCGTTCAAATACAAATATTAACTCATCTTCAACATGCACGTGTCATGAAGCAAATCCTTATCGTTCTGGAGAAAAATGGGGACTACAAGACGCTTTAATTTATACCTGTCAATTGTTTATTGATAAATCAATGACAATTAGCTATTGGGCCAAAGGATTAGATCCACATCATTCAACATTATCAATAACAACACGAGAAAAAATGCTACGTTATGCAATCTATGATTGCTTTACCACAACATATTTAGCACGTCCAGTTTTAAGCACTTGGACATTTCAAAAGGTAAAAAATACTAATGTAATTGATCTATTTCAGGCATCATCATCATCATCTGCATCACCATCATTATCCTCATTACCTCACGAAAATAACATTATCATCAATACCAACATTAATCCCCAAATTTTAAAAAATGTTATTAATAATGATTTAGAATTTATTTCTGAAGATAGTGATGATGACATAACAATTAATCAATGTCGTACAATCCCTGTTAATAATGCATTATATGAATAAATTTCCGATGATGAAATTTGTATTAGTCAAATTGTTGGTCCAGTTACAAAAACACAACCTGAACTTGAAGACATTTCAGATGATGAACAACAACAACATCAACCTTCAATTGCACAACTTTTCATCACACGATCGACAATCTAATGCAGCACGACAAAGACAAAACCGAAAACGTAATTAAACTCATCGGTTACATCGTTATCTTCATATTTTAGTTCGTCGAATTTACCACCGATTTACCATGTCGTCAATTAAAGATATTATTTGACAACATCATATTTATGATCGGCATGTAAAAATCGTTGCCTCATCATTAATTATTGGCATAAAAAATTCGACGCTTCAACGAGAATTCGTTCAATATTTACCTGACGATTTATTCGATCGTGGTCGTTATTATCATCATCGTCGTCATGACTTTCATCATCATCATTAAAATCGTCTTCAGTTTTTTCATTACAAACAAACACACCAGGTGCAATCAATGAAGAACAGCAACAGTAAACTGTTTTTATTTTATTTTACTGTTTCATATGTTCTTTCTTTTTCTACTCATTTCTATATCTAGTCGGATATTTTTTTTCATATTGACAAATATATATTTTAAATATATATTATTTTGTTGTTTCTTTTCTTTTCTTTTTTTTCGTTATTCTAAAAAAAAAGAAAGAAAACGTTTTTGTAAACAAAAGCTTTTGTTGACCCGGGAAGGGTATTAGGGTCTGGCATCTTTATCTATATGTTGCAGGTCAACACTCTCTTGTTTGTTTGTTTCCTCTCGTTCTTCCCCCTTTTGTTTATTGTTATGAAGCAGTTGTGTCTTTTACGTAAATAAAGATAGCCCAGTGAACGCAAGACATAACAGTAATTCATTCGAATGATCGAAAATTCAAAGACAGGTAAAGTTGGCACGATATTCGAGTATTTTCAGTCCCCATTCGGTCTGCGATTTGTACTGAGTCTAAAACCGGTTGTAACAGACATCTTATTTCATTTTCTATTCAAGGATAATATTTATGATAGGTTCATCGCGCAAAACGAAATTGGTTGGGCGTAGACCTAGGTGTAGGTTGGCAATAGATCATGTGCAATACCTTTCTTAACCAATTTTAACCTTTGAGGGCATTGATTTCGAATTCAAATCATGAAACAGGCTCAGTGATACTCACAACGCAGATGTACATTCACACCTTTTAATTATTGCCTCCACTATTTTCAACGATGTTATGTTTAATAAGAATATCGAAATCGAGAAAAAAATGGTAGAAACCCGGGGGGATTTAGTCAGAAACAATTATTATAGGCATTCTTTTATTTTTGTCTCATTTTAGAAAATAAAATAAACTCATTTTTATGGCGTCAGCTGATGCTATTGAACGGCAAACAGTGTGCCGACGTGGGTTTATCGGATCATTGTATGATATTCGAACAGATAAACTGGAAGGTACAAACTTGTTCAAAAAAAAATTACCGGA